GTACCAGTTTAACATTGAATATTATTTATGATTTTAACTTTATACACAACTGCCAAAATACTATAATTACATAATACCATGTTGAATGGCATTCTGTTAAAGGTTGTGGTTTGTACACTTTGATCCTCACCTGTGTGCTTAGGGTTAATTTAATTAAATTTATACTGTATAGGCTTTTTGTAACAGTGTTGTAATATTAGTATTACTAGTAGTTACTTGTATAGTACTACTAGGGGATACAAATAGTACAGAGTCTTCTTTGTTTTTTTGTTGTTTTTTTTGCCCAAGAAAGAGTAACAGGCACAAAATTATTTGATCAGAAAAAAATGTTTTTTTCTTTATATGGCTTGTGAGAAATTCTGCCAAAATGGCTTTCAGTCTTCTCATTTTGTCCACATACATTGTTGTTGTTTTTTGTACTAGACTAAGTTAACTATTTCTCAGCTATTTTCTGAAAAAGTAATTGTTTAGTATTAGATGAAACCAGAAAATTCTATTCCAACACAATCAATCCATTTCGTATGCAAATTTCTAGAAAAAAGTATTTTCTTAATAATCTACTATACAAAATTATTCATAATTTCTTACTTTACTAACTTTGTATACAGAATAATTTTAAAGAAAAACTAACTTTCTCAAATCTTCCTATGTTAAATCTAGCTTAAAGTAACATAGATACATGTTCACATTGATGGACCAAGTTTCTTCATGAGGTTACAGGATATAGGTACATCTTCAACATTGCTGGACCAAGTTGGTTGAGGTTACAGGATATAGGTACATGTTTAACATTGATGGACCAAGCTGGTTGATGATGCTACAGGATACAGGTACATGTTTAACATTGCAGACAAAGTTTCTTCATGAGGTTACAGGATATAGGTACATCTCACACCAGTTTGGATGATTCCACCAGGGTTAGTAAGTAGCAGTAAATGATAAGTGTGGTTTGAAGAGGGCCTTCATTGTAATACGAGTTTAAAAAAAAAAAGAGTTTGGATTGAAAAATGAGCATGCAATTAAACTTTACATCTTGAAGCATTTTTTTTAGAGGCTGTAAGGGTATTGTTTAATTTAGTTTGTTATTCTTCAGTGAATATAATCAACACTGTATAAAAACAACTATTTTTAAAGTTATAATATGTACAACTACTTATCAGAAAAAGTATTTTAATTCTCAACATTTTACTCTATCAATCTTATCAAGGAATAATATTCTTCTTGCTATAATGGATGGAGCATGTATGTCAGTATCTATGTATGTAATCAAAACTTCTATGCTATCTATTGAATGGTGCCACAAAAATCGTAAAATACTTCACACTTTGGGTGCTCAAGATTCAGACATTTAGAAGAATAACTGTGGTATGTGCAACAACCATTTCTTTATAATAGAACACAATTTTAAGTAAATGTACTCTCCTCACAACAAGAACAAGACTTCCAATAGGACTGTATGTGAAGGTTTGATTGTATCTTTATTGATGCAATTTTTGAATGCAGTGCCGAGAAACTGGAGTTCTTAAAAAACTATTATTTTTTCGATAAATGGTACCACTTTTAATATATAAAAACATTACAGTTTATGAGTAAAGGTTACTAACATTTTGAGCTTTTTACATTGAATCATTTTGATGCAATGAGTTGCGTATGACTAAAGAACATAATCCAAACATTTTTCCTGTGCAGTACTTCCCAGAAAAAAAAATAATTTTTTAGAAAATGTTCACTTTTCTCCAAATGTTTTTCAATCAGGTATGAATACTACAATTAGTAATTGCTAGCACAGTCGCCTATAAGGCGGTGTTTCTGCTAGTAATAACAATGTTGTCTACAATGGAAAAAGGCTGAGATACAGATAGGTATAATTATGTGTTGATAATGCTGATACAATGAACCATTGAGAATAAAACTTTTTTTTCTGATGATTAGTTATGTATTTGTAATAATTTAAAAAAATTGATTAATTTTTTAATAAAATTTAGCACTTAATCATTTGCAGAAAAGTCTAGTTCTCTGTGGATAACATTCTTTCTTTAACCCTTATTTTTTTTAGTCATCATGGTATCCAGACTGTTTAGTGGTGCTGAGCATGCAGCTTTGTATTCACATTTTAGGCCTTCACCACCTAAAGAACTTGTTTCCAGGATTATTTCATATGTTAAAGAGAAGGTTTGTGCAAAGTTTATCTGAATATTAGTTATCATTAATTTGTTATCAAACTGGTCACAACTCGGTTATTATTGTGATATATATGTACCCTATTCTAACAGCAAAATAGTCCCACAATAATAAATATTACTTGCATCCGTATGTGTAAACAAATCTAATTTGGAAAAAAAATAAATTATGAATCAATGTATAAGCAAAACAAATTGAACAAAAGTTAGTTAATTCAAATTTTTTGTTTGTTGGTAGTAGCAGACAATTGTAATTATTTGGTTGTCTTACAGCTTTATATGTTCTTTCTATTCATGTGCTGAATATATAATTTCATTTTAATAGTTTGTTTTTATAACATATAAGAGAGCTAATAAATATCATAGTGACAGAATACCACCTTTCACCTACCAAAACATGCCGCTAAAACCAAATTAAACACAGCCTTTCATATCTGTGTGTCTATCTATGATGTACAGCCATCACCAATCAGAGTTATTTGAGCTGATTGTGTTCAGGATACTTTATCATTCTACCTACGACCTCAGACAGGTTCTTTTTCCTTAAAACACTGGCAGCCAGGAAAAAGGATAAATATTTTTCCCCAGTTCATCTCACCATTATTTCTCACTTCTATGATCAATCAGATCTTGATTGCTTATGACCAGTAAGGATCTGGAAGTGTTATGTTTCCTTCACTAATGCCTTTAGAGGTGCTACACAATGACTTTTTATTCACTTGGATCCTTCAGTTTCTCGGGATTTCTCACTGATTATCTTCTCACTTATCTTGGGCTCTCTTTGGAGGTGAGTAATCTTCTGAGAGTTATGTCTGTTCAGATTTGTCAAATTTCTATGTCCTTAGTGGACCGGGTGAATTGTTTGCTGGAGAACATTGCATGGGCTGCTATGTGGACCTCCTCCAATACTTTTATCTCACATTATTTGCATGATTTGGCAGTATCTTCTTCTGAGGGTTTTTGACTACTCCCACTAGTTATCGTAACCTCATCCACTAGATTATAAGGTGATGTGAGTATCTTCATTATTAATATTGTCTCTTCTTTATTTTCCAGGGTCCCGTACCTCTATTTCTCAGGATCCCACTCTGTGGTGAGTGTTGCTCAGGCAGGTGTGCTTTTATCAAACCAATTCCACACTAGCAACTACCGACAATTCAATATACTTTATCTAGGTTGCAACAGCCTCTGTAGAAACGGGGTGTTCCATAAGACCACCTAGAGGCAGGCTGGATGATATTACTCTACTAAGCTGGACTGCCACTCATGGACTATCACAAGTAAAGCATAAGAGGAGCCTGTCCACCCCTGCCGATTATTAGATTGAATAAATCAGGGTCAGTTTACTTTTAAAAATTTAGAGAGCTTGGTTCACCTATTGCATTGTTCCTCAGAACTCCCCAATGTGCATTACCACCCCCTTGTTTCCTACTAGTGGAGCTAAGGAATTCTTACCATGCCCTGTTTCCAGTTGCTGTGGTGGTGGACAGAGGCTATTCCTCCAGAATGTCGAGTGACTTTCCTCCACTCTTTGAGAAGGGGACGAAGTTAGGGGCCCTCCTACTCAAGTCCTGGGATGTTTTTTCCCTGATGTTGGAAGGAGAGACACCAGGAGCCTATTCGTAATACTGGTTCAGATTTGATGCTCTGCTATCTGGTTGGTTTGAGTGTGGCCCTTCTTTTTTTATCAATATTGGTTCAGTACATTATTACTAGAAGAGGGTCCATTGTTCCTTATAATTCTGAATGCAGAATGGTCCCACATCCTCCTCATAACTCCAGGAGCAAGTGGAATTTACCATGCCCACACAGTTGGGAAGTGAGGATGTGTGTTCATAATTCCAGACTGGATGAGTTCTGCATCCTCAGGTTGAGTGTGGCATACAGGATCCTGTCATTCCAAGTTTTGAGTGTTGTCTTTCGGACATCTTCAGGTTGAGGAGAAGGTTTGTCCACTTTGGTGTTGCTTTCCTTCTTGTCATGATTCTGGTGGCTCACAATGCATCACTCTATAGTTACAGGTTGGAATTCACTCACAAATGCCCTAGCCACCAATGTCGGATTTGGTCCTATAAATTGAACCCCGAGCAGTGGGACTTCAGCAACCTGGTTGAGGTCTGGCTTATAGTGATGAAGAATCATGTCAAATTCCACCCGAAGGGCACGATTTAGGTTCCGGGTGAAGAGCATACCTGTTCTGGATGTAGTGTGGTTCCTCCACTAGCGTGCTAAGCTTCTGTTGGCACACACACGATCTCTGCAGATGTATTTTGTATGAATAATGCTCTCACTAACACCTCCACCTTATCAGTGTGGGATTTGAGCTGTAGTTTGTAGTATGTTTTGGAAGTTAACATTTTCTTAAATTGAAAATGTATTTCCAGTAATACTTATATACTGTACCAGGATAGAGGGTGTATTGATGTATGTGGAGAATGTCACGAGACAGATATCACCAAGAGTAATTAAATTGGGATAAAAGACTGAAGCAAGCAAGAAAATTTCAGACCGATGCTTAGATTGGCCCTGGCAGTCAAGTAATAGCTGTAGTGTGAGAGGAGGTAAGTATTATTGGAAATATCTTTTTAATTTAAGAAAATGTTAACTTTTTAAATCTGTGTGATGCTTCATATTCATATGCATTATTAATGTTTATTTTTAACAATTAGATAAGACCTCCTTTAAGTCATGCATTAGATGTCGGTTGTGGATCAGGCCAAAGTACGAGAGTCCTAACTCCATATTTTGAGAAAGTTACTGGCATTGATACTAGTGTTGCTCAAATAGACGAAGCTGTGAAGAAGGAGAAATCAAATAAAAGTGAATATAAGTATGTTAACCTAAACAGATGTGGTGCTTTGTTTAAAATATAAACTTAGTTTCTATTAACAATACAAACTTTGCTCTCTTCATGATCTGCTATTTTATAAAATAGATTAATATATGAATGCAGACTGAAAAGTAAGCCTTGTATAAAAATGAGTTCACAGTTTTACTTGCCTCTACTTTTTTTTTTTTTAAATAGAAGCATGAAAGTAGAAATGACATTTTAAAATTCTGTGATTAATACCCAGAGCATAGGTGGTGGTACATATTTGAATTTGGGAGTAGGGGCACCTTAGTTACTAGGTTAACTGAAACAGAGTTTTTTTTTCCCCTGATAATTATATACAAGTAGAGAAATGCCTCTTTGAATGGGGACAGAGAAATATATATATAATTATCAGGGAAAATTGCTATTTCAATTTTGAATTAAATTACCACAGTTAGCAGAGCAAATAAGGTACTCCCCCATTCAAAGGGGCACTTCACAACTAGCTCATAATTGGAGTGAGGTACGTGCCTCCCCTTCCCTGAATCCACCACTATGACCTAGAGGTTCATTATTAGACTCTGTTGAAAATTTTTGCATAATATGTTTGTATATCATAAAGTCAAATTTACTTTCTTTTCACTTCAGGGTAGCTTATGCAGAAAATGTTCCCTTACGTAATGAATCAGTCCAACTGGTATCTGCCAGTCAATGTGCTCATTGGTTGAATCTAGATGTGTTCTTCAAGGAAGTCCACAGGCTCTTAGTGCCTGGTGGAGTTGTGGCATTGTATGGCTACCTGTTTACTGAGCCTGTTGTACAAGGGAAACAAGAAGCTGTGCATAGCTTATTGTGGGACTGGGTTAGTGATATTAATTATTCTTGTATTTCATTTCAAAATGTTGAATGATACATCCTTTTCAAGCTACGACTAAGTAGGGATGAAATCTTGTTCCGACCAGAATGCCATTAAGTGTTAGGCATAATTTAACTGGTTTAGTTACAGTGACAATTAGTGATGTTTTACCAGTAATCGTTCAAAGCTAAGAATCCTTTTTATCATTAGATGAGATGTACCAAGATATTTTTAAGTATTAAATTTAGTTTTCAATTTAACAGTTCAACTTGTGTATTGCTAGTTGTCTTTCTGTTAATATTTTGTATAACTTCAACCTGTATCATTAAAAAATAATTATGTGATTCACTTTCATTATAAAATTGATCTCTTAAATCTTAGAGGGATGTTTTTCTAGAAAATCACTTACATATTTCTTATTTTCTGTGACAGTTATATCGAGAGCAGCTGTCACAGGGTTACTGGGCTCCTCAGCGTGTTTTGTTAGATAACTGTTTTCGAGATATTATTCTTCCCTTCTCAGACACTGTCAGGTAATGATACCCATTTTACTATTGAATTGGTATATTCTGTTTATGACCTTTTCACCTGACATAAAAATTTACCATACTGTCCTCCAGTGTTACCATCTGACAACAACAGTTATTGTTTTCCTTTCCAACCTTACCACCTGATCTCAACAGTTGCCACATTGCTTTCCAACCTAACCATCAGCCATCAATGTTACCACATTGCTTTCCAACCTAACCCTCAGGCATTAACTGTTACCATGTTGTTTTCCAACCTAACTACCAGGCATCATCTGTTACCACATTGTTTTCCAACCTAACCATCAGGCATCAATGTTACCACATTGTTTTCCAACCTCCAGTTGCCATTTTCTGACACATAGATAAAACTGAGTTGCCATCAATCACAATAAAACAGTAATTTTCGTCATTCGCATAGAGTTATAGTTATATTTGTGCGACTGACAGATATTTATGACAAGTGTGTGGATGCTTACTTTACATAAAAGTCAAGTTTGTTTTGTTTTTAATGAAAGTCTTTTTTTTGGATTTTGAAATCAATACAACTATTCTACTGCTACGAAGGTAACCGAACTAAGTGTTCAAAGATTAGTTCAGAAAAAAAAACCCAGTATTTTCATATGTAATACCATTGTGATGCAGTACAGTAGGTTCGGAAAGTAGCACTAGAAAAACCTGATTGGTAAAGCATGATTGCAGAACATGACAAAAACTTCTGAAATTGTAAGCTCAACAACATTTTATAAACCTTAAATTGTTAATTAAATATATTAAGTATTATGTAGCTAAACTTGATGTTTTAATGGCTGGACTACTCACATCAAAAAAAGACATGTATTCTTGTATATGTGTTGGGTAATTGCACTGTGAGAATGAATATTTTTTTAACCGTGTATGTATATGCTGGAAGAATTGATGGACGACCTTTTCTAATTAAACAACAAAGAAATGTATATACATTTTGAAAGAGTTTATTAAGCTAAACAGAGATTAGAAGCTACAATTGTCTACTAACTGACTATTCCTTTCTGAAATTGGGAAAAAAGTTTCTGAGAAATCACCAAATGCTTTACACTCCAGAAAAATGGTGTACTTTAACAAGGAGCCTTAGAACTGTATGTAGTGCATAGTTAAAAATATATATATACTTCTGTTGCTGATTGCTTTTTCAAACAGCTGAGTGAAACTTATCATTTCTGGCAGAACAGGTCCAACCAAATCACTCTTGTTTTTTACGGGCAGAAATACGGTTGGTGTTAAAGGCTATATTCCACATATTCAATATACAAGAATACAACTTATTAAAGACTATTTTACATTTAATATGTGTACGTAGGGTGTGTAAAAGTGAACAATCTGTAGAACATTTTATTATTAACAAGATGCAAAATAGAATTCTTAGTTTGTGACTGTTTGCCTTTCTAGTTATGTCTGGTCAGATCTGAAGTAATTAATTACTTAGTTAATCTTGCCTTTTCACATTCCTGCAAACAAAATAGAAAGTAATAAAACAAATGTAGTATTTGTGCAAACCTTAGGTAATTGTAATACACATCATCTTGGTACAGTTTTGAATTTTTGGTTTTTGTTTCAGGGTTGAAGACATCATCCTGAAACGACGTGATTTGTTTTCCAACTACCTGGGCTACATTATCACATGGTCAGGCTTTAGAGAACTTCAGAAACAAAAACCAGAACTTGCACCACAAATTTTACAAGAATTTGAATCAAGGTTAGTATCTATTTCAATAATTTTTGTTCTAATCAGGTATTCTTAATTACCTTTGAAATACTGAAAGCCTTTCCTTGTCGAGTTTGAACTCGTACCGTCAACAAATGGTTAAAGATTTTCAAATATTCTTTCTATGTTACAGAGCATGCATCACTTACCCATAATTCTCATTCTCCCACCTTCCCTGGGACTTAGTGTATAAGTATTGGGGGATCTTACATAATGTCTGCTTTCCCACCAATATCTAGATTGTTGTTGACAGCTGTACTATTCTCTTTGCTGAGACGTTTTTGTGATACAACTATTTTGGCCACCATCAGAATTTCTGTAACTTAGTTGAAGTTTTCATTTTAAGTAATCGGTCTGTAGCATGCAGGAAAAATAGTTGTGGGTATGTCATATTGATATTCGTGGCAGGTACGAAGAATGTGTGAATGCTTACTTTACGTACTGCTATCAAGTTTCTTTTATTATTGATGAAAGTCATTTTATTATTATTTCTCAAGTATAATCACCTTAAGAGTCTACAGAGCTGGATTTGTCTGTAACAACATTAGCGTTAATCCTGACAATACTTCTGTTGTTTTATATATATATATATATATATATATATA